ACCAACTGCTGCCACCTGCAAGAAGAGGCTTTGCTTCTCTTTAAAAACTGGCTTCCAAAAGACTTATGTTTTTATTGGGGTTTTGGTGGCATTTCTAGAGCTGTGACCCTCAGAAGGCCTGTCAGCTTTTGCCTCCCTTGTGTCCGCCCAGTGTCCTGTTTAGCAGAATAATCGGTGAGTTTTCATGGAGCTGGTAGAAGATTTGGAAAGACTGTTAAAATGGTGCCACAAATTGTTATCTGAGGGCTCCACCATTAAAAATATTTCCTTTTTGGATCACTCCAGTGCTCAGCACTGGGACCTGGGGCTTCTCTGTAGCTTTACCATCAGCTGCAGAGCCAGGGATGTCATCACCTGCATTTAGCCTCCTAAAAACAGGCAGAGGATGAATCCCAAGGGCTGAGCTGAACACTGACACACTGCTGAGCTGCACTCAGGAACTTTGTTTTTCTGCACCATTTTATTCTGGACTGATTTAGGCTCCAGCCCAGGACAGAATCCCTCCTGCAGGCTCTGGTTGCAGAAAAATGTGACAATCGTGATGCTTTATTGGCTGCATGGAAGAAAAATCCTAAATGTAAGTGGATTATGGATGTAATGGATTGTGAGTCAGAGGTGATACCTTGAGCACTATTTAATTTATAATTATAATTTAAGAAATGGATTATATCACCTGATATACTCCAAATATTTGCTGCTTTCTTACCAGGTGCAGTCATGCTCTGTGTTTGGAACTGGAGTTTTTTAAGAAAGCAACAATTATTTTTGTATTTTAATAAGACAACTAATAATACTACAATACTAATAATCCTGCAGTTAAATGCTTGGCTTGGGGCTTTTGAAGAATCAGACTGTGATGGTTCTGCCCCTGGGCACAGGAATATTTTTTCCCCTCAGGTCCAATGGGTTTTGTTTATGATCAGAGCTCTTTACAGGAGCAGCAGCAGAGTGATGCTGTGGTGGCTTCCATGGGAACTGCCCCACACTCAGTGCTCTCACATCTGCATGCAGCTGTCCCAGCTCCAACTCTGCTGGGAAGCTGGTTCCTGCTGGGAGCAGGCAGGGGCCACAGGACCTTGTCTTTTCAGCAGAACCATTCCTGTCCCTGGCTCCTGCAGCCACCTCACTGCTCCTGCCTTCCATTCCAGATTTGCTGGCAGCTTATGGCCAGTGGGTCCCTGAAGCTCTGCGGGATGACCTGGCCCAGCACTGGCCACCAGTGGCCCTGGGAGGTTCCTGACCCTGCTCCTGATGGACTCCTCCAAGACATTTCCAGAGCTTGAATTTCCATGGAATTCTTCTGGCACAGATGGACTTGCTCTTAGAGACGCTTTTCTGCAAGAGAACTAGGGCTGACTCTGGTTTTCTGGGAAGCCCCCTCTCTTCCCAAAAAACCCTACTGGCTGCTTCCCTGGTATCTTGTAATATCAAAGTTTGGATAATTTTATCCATTGTATTTTTACATATTTTTTTTTAAATAATCAGAAGTTTCTCTTTGGACTATATTAGTCATATGAACTCTAATAAATGTGTCTAGTTCTTGGCTGGGCAAAGTGTTTTTTCCACACGGGAGGTTGCAACAAGCAAAACTGGTCAGACCTTTCTCGACCTTCCTTCGTGCGTGACTGGAGCTCCAGCTGCAGCCTGAGCCTTAGCTGGGACTGCTCCAGGTGCTCCGTGCGGGAAAGAGGACAGAAAAAAAATAAAGGAAAATATAAGTATTTGGGACAAAAAAAAAAAAAAAA